CCACCAGTAGACAGGACCCAGAGTATGCCTCTCTTACCAAAGTGGATAGGACAAGTAGACATAATCGGGGATCGGGGGTCCCTCTAACAACCTGGCCCCATACAAAAGCAGTAGAAGCTTTAGCATTTTATCATAAATAGATTTAAATGCAGAAGCATTTCAGCATGAAACTGTCTCAACAGCAAAATTATGAGAAGTCAAGGCATGTGCCAGTTTTTAAGCCAGCAAAATAGTCAATGCAGCAGTGGTATTTTTTTTATTACATTACTATAATAAAATAGCTGAATGCTGGTGTTTAAGATTGCTGTACAATGTGTGCTGTAAAACGGATTAATCTCCCAGAAGATTTTCTTTCCCGAGGTGCCCTAGCAAACATACCCTAAATTAAATTTTCATTAGCAAATCTCTATTTTTCATCTACCTTTTATTAGCACATGGTTTAGAAGACCGTCTGATCAGGTTCCATTAAAAGATTTTTCATATTCCAAAAAGAGAGTCAATGAAATAAATTACTGCAAAGGAAAAAGACTGATTAAAAAAAAAATCCAAGTGCCTCAAGATAGTGGAGACTTTCAAATAACTTGATATTTGAAAGGTTAGAGTTTGGGTATTAGTCCTCATAATTACTACCTACTTGATGTTGAAGAGAAGAGAGCAGAAAATGCTATGTGACATTTTTTAAACAGGTATAAAAAATAAGAAATATTGCCTTCCCACCTTACTAACGTAGTGCAGATTGTTTCATCCCACTTACTCATACTGAGCAATGATTCTGTTTCCCAGGCCATGATTTGCTCTTAATCACATCATTTTGCGCTCAGATGTAACTATGTCTTCTAAGAAGAATACCTTTTTATTTTTATGCAAAAAAGAATAAAACAGACACAAAAAAATAAATATATTTATCTAGCTGCCAAATGTTAGAATCAATTATTAAACCTTGACCACATAAAACAATATTCACCAGTGCTTCCACTGCATTGATACAGTACCAGTTTATAAATGGAAAGTGAGCACTTATCTATGATCCAGACTGTAATTTAGGAATAATTCCATCTTTCCAATGTCGAATAACTATCTTCTTTTCATCCCCTATTGTGTGATATAGTCATAATTCTTCACGTACTGACAAATTCTAATGTTGGAGATACGTAATTCAAGAATTTAACCAAAAAATAAACATGACATAGTAACGATTTTGTAATTATCAAATCTAACTATATCAACAAGTCTGTATTATGTGAGTTCATTCATTCATACTATGCCTCGCCATGACAGAATGTGTGACCAGCCCTTTCAAAATATTATTTGAGGAGTCCAAAACTCATGAAGAAGGTTTTGTTGACTGTTCTCGTCTTCAGATCACAGGAGATATACTTAACATTTGTAAGAACTCTTCGCCATTATGAGTATAGCTAGGATGATGAAGTCAATAGAAAACCTAATTAATTAAATCCAAATTCAGCCCCTCGTCCTAAAGACACTGTATCTGTGCCTATGAAAGCATTCTTTTAAATGATGTGCTGTGTGGGTTCCTCTGAAGTGAAGACCCATCAGCAATGTTGCTACTTTAATGACCTCTAGACAGAAGACTGCCTTTCAAACTGCAAGAAGGAATCACTAATGGTGTCACTTCTGGGTTTATTCCACTGAGTCTCCTTAGCACTTTGAATGGTCTGAACTTTGCCTATTTCAGTAAATCACAGTTAAGTCAAAACCCCCTACAGCTTTTCTGGAGTTTTGACATAATGCAAAATGATGTCCTGTTTGTTTATTTAACGCTTTTAAAATATGCCTTTCAGGGATATTTGCAGTCACTGGCAGTTTACAGCATATTCTTATGACAATACAACCATACCTTATTAAAAAAAACATTTTAAAAATTACACGACATTACAAAATAACAGCAAATAAATAAGCTGTTAATGCAACTCTTTAAAGCTCTCTAAAGACTGACAAAAGAGAGGCGTATCATTTTCTCTCAGACAGTTTTCCATAGCTGTGGGTCAACCACCAGAAACTCCGTCCTTATTACTTGCTCATTATCAGAACTGATCTTAAAGCTGACAGATTGATATGAGTAAAAGTATGGTCTAGTCCCAACTATTAATTCTTACAGCAACATTTGGACTCAGAAATGAAGAGGAGGCCAGTGGAACTGTGAAATAATGGGTGTTACATGAATCAAACATCTACAACCATTCTAGCTTCTACATTTACACCAATCAAAGTTTCTGGACCATCTTTAAGGGCCCTCCTAAGTACAGCTGGGCCTTGACACTGCCAAAGAAATGTGGGGTGATCCAACAACTATGCCTACCCAATCAACTGTACTGCCAAGCTCCTGGAGAACCAAATGAGAACCCTTCAGCACAATCAGCTGCACACCTCCATCAAGATCAGTAGATTTTCTGATCCACAGCTTTTCCGATTTGTCTGGATCGTCTGCATTGTTCATGCCAAAAAGCTCCCGAACTTTAGAGAGTAAGGAAGATGACCTTGATGGAGATATGCAAGCTCTGTGGCCAAGGTGACAAAGGGTAAAACTTGTTTTGAGTCCACAGCAGCCAGACAACATTCAGAAGTGACTCGGACACCTCTGTGATTCACTGAGCTATAAGAAGGAGAGGAAATACAACCCAAACAGACTTGCAAGATTTTGTTCTGTCTTTCTCAATAAAAGTAGTTTTTGCCTCCCTGTGGGGTTGATTTCTTGGTCTGCTCTACCTAGAGGGGCTGACACAAACACCTCTTCATGATTTTCACTGTTTTCTTGGATACACCATCTAGAAAAGATAGCTGTAGCTGCATATTATTCACATAGTGAGAAAAACATCAGCTAATACTTAGTAGGACTTTAAGTAGCATGTAAAACGTTAAAAAACACAAGGACAAGATGTAACTGTATGTCACCTCACAAGTTACGAATGAAGAAATGAAACAGAACATCTTCACTGCCATCTCTTGAGCTTCCAGAGACAATATCGTTGAGAGTTACCATCTCCTCAAGATGTATCCTACAGACACAATCCGACAAGTATCTTTGGTCACTAGTACTAGAATCAGCTATTAAAATGAAACCAAAAGGTTCCAATCTTCTCACTATGGTTGTGCCAGAGAAGAAGATGGAAGGAGGAAGCCGAGGTTTCGCCATGCAACGATAAACTGTAACGCGCTGGTGTGCTTAAAATGCAATTTATTCACACAATAACGAGGACACAAACATACATTCAGTAGGTTACTAGAGTGCTAAGTTTGTCTGAAGTGCATGCATAAACAAAT